GAAATGTACACAGTTTTAAAACGCACGTGCTGAGCTGTTGCTCTGCTCCTTAGATCTTTTGTTTCGCCACGTTCTCGTTGCCGTCGCCGTCGTGGTTTACTAAAGGTCCCTATTGATAAAACAAGGTTGTTGTTTTATTACTCAGATTGCACATGAAAGTACCTGACACACTTTTCTACACTTTTATCTTGTGATTTTGTTCTAAATTCAATCTGAAAAGGCTAAATGGTAAATGTGATTTTCTATCTCTCACAGTTGCAGAGTCATGCAAAGATGTGTACGACCAATACAAGTAAGTTCTAACAATGGAACTTTTTGAAAACGCTTACAGCGCTGCTACTCTAAGGGACAACTTTCTAACATAACCCACTAAGCAAATAATAGACATCGTTTGTCGAACTTAATGAATACAAGGACATTTACCCAGATGATCAATTCTTCAATATTACTTCTTGAGTGCTAGCGTATTCTCTGCGCAAAATATGAACTGAATAAAAAAGTTCCACTATACTTCCTTCTAACCATAATCTGCTGAACTAAATTTATATGTTTCGCTCTCTGTAAATATCGTTGTCCAGTAAAGGCAGTTTGAGTGCCAGCAATGGTTACAAGCGATGAGATTCTCAACAAATTCTCCGTCAGCAAGGCATGAACTTTTTTCATAATTTTCATTCTGATCAGGTCAAGTTCTAGTTACCTCGTCCCTCTGATGGTTGGCTCCGAACCCATTCACGTTCTTTGCCAAATGGGAAACTTTGGATGTGGAAATGGGGGCTGGACACCAGTCATGAAGATTAATGGCGAATTGGTATGGGTTTCTTTTCAGTCTATTTAAACATGGAATAAAAGGAGCCCTAAATGTTTACTTTTACGCCAGAAGTAATTCGAAAAAAGTTACTGTTACTTCTCGTATGAGGAATGAGTGTTTTTTTGTGAGATTGTAATCCTAAGCACTAAGAAGAAGGTAATCATGCATATTTATGCAAAAATTATCTTTATTGTTGGCCGGAAAAAAATCAAGCTTCATCAAGGGGAAGGTACTGAGACCGAGGCTGTTTCCTACCTGATGCGGCACACGGGTGAATAATGGTGCGTAAATGACAAAGGTTGAAGGTTGAACGGCGAACTTAAACTGATATTATAGAATAAGAAACGAGTGCACATAATCAGTACAGAGTTAATGTATAACTAACTGATACTTCGTATTATATTGCCACTGGACGGTGGCCAATACCTATTACTTTTATCTCCCTAAAATTATTGAAAGTACCCTTTTAAACCTTAATTAATTTCTATGATTGGATTTTTTTGATCGTTACCTGTATACCTCCAAGATTGAAGATCGAAGACTCACTGATCGAGTGAAAAAGGGCATTTTTTTTTCCTAAACCCACGACAGGGAACTTTCCATTATGACGCAGAGTATTGGACCGATAAGAGGAGCTACAACCTTGCTGGAGGAAGGACTGGGTTTGATTCACAGGAAACTAAGTTACCAACGTTCTGGAACACCTCTTTCTCTAAAATCTGCCTCGGTATGAGGATCGGCCAGAACAAGAAATTTATTGTGATGAACAAACAGGCCGAGTCTCTGTACTCACTGATAGTTGATGGGATATACCGCAATACGTCACTGGGACGTGACACGTGGAAGAAGCTGATTGGTCCAGATGCATCTCTTCAATCGAACTGTAACATGGAAGGTTTTAATGCAGTGAGTTTAGACAGTGGTCATGCGAGGGCAAGAATCGGCATCATAGGCAACAACGAAGAGGATTGCAAACGTGCTGATTCCTGGCTTGGGTTTGGTGCAGGAGTGATCACTGGTGAATCCCTGACATGTGGTAACTATGCAACAGCCAACCCAGATAATGGTGACAGAGCCATAGATGCCTTTGGATACATCTTTGTGCAGTGAATTTTTTACATTTGGGTTGATAACGTTAAGAAAGATCCAAGATATGCGAGAACGTTCGACTTTGATTCGCTACTCCCACAAATTCATGGGGATATCACTATAACCATTTGCACGATATTTGCGACACTCGAGCTGAAAAAGAGGATTTTCTGTTTTTTCAGAGTTTAAAGGCTGACGTTTCTAGCATTAGCCCTTCGTCAGAGCGACATATGAAGGCTAACGCTCTGACACAGGGCTGACGCTCGAAACGTCAGCCTTTCAACTCTTTCCGTTGGCAATTTACGTCATAAACTCAGTTGATGATGCTAAATTACCCTGCTATACTCTCCCATCGACGCAGTACCACAGTTTCTTTAGAAACTTACCCCATTTATTCATTTACAGTTCACTAAAAGCAGCAGATCTCCTTACATTACCTAAAGCCTGTTCTCAAATTGCAATGAATAATTTCCGAGAAATGCGAGTGCTATGAGTTAAAGGAATTTTAAGCGAAGTCTTTGATATTAGTATCATTTTCACAAGGGAGTTTTTGAAGTTGGTATCCTTTTGCACGTGTGTGGTTTGAACCTCTGAGATGATGTATTGTTTCCATTGTTGGGGACGATATTTGTTTTTCTTGTAGCTCTTCATCTTTGAGAACACACCGTATAGTTATTTGTCAAGAAAGAAAAAGATGAGAAGCTTCTGAGCCAATCAGCTTTTAAAACTAGTAACTGCCCGTGAAATGAGACAAGAAGAAACAAACTCAAAGCGAGCAAATGATTTTTACTGTCAGAGTCAACTAGTATGCCTACTGAACCGTCATATGACAGTTGTCAGTTCCAGGCGTAAAGCTTAAATCGGGGAGATGGTGACTGACCACGTTAAGTGGAAGTCATAACATTAAGCCTTAGACATCAGCAGTCGAGGCCAAGCAGTGCATGATGGGTACTTATCTGTACTCACACCACCTTGTCTTGCTAATTGCATATGATCTGCCGGGGGATCGTGGAACTGTTAGAAGCATGCTTAAAGTGTACCCCAAGAGACTTACATTGACAGCTTCATCATCCATCGATTTATCGTTTCATGATATCGAGTCTTTAAAACTTATGAGCGTAATAAGGACAATAGGCACCTCAATTAGTGAAATAAGTCCAAGAATTTTCAACCACAGAATGGCGAGATCATTTCAGACCCGTGTATTATTCTTATATCGCTATTTCAGGGAAAAACTATGTAGGATACGTATTCAAAATATGTTCCCCGATATAACGATAATCAATAAACACGCGCAAATTTGGGCAGGCTCATTGGCTGATTGTGTGTCATATAATCTCAAGGAGAGTAGTAAGTTGAAATTGGATGTAGCTAACTGTAGTAATGTAGAAACTTTGAGGGGTTTCTCTTGCAGTTTATAAGAAGCAAGCAAAGGTGCAAGAATCTTTTAGATATTGAAAGTTTTTCACGTCGAAAATTGCGTATTTTGAATTACATTCGAAGTTATTTGGTTGCCCATGCGAATAGCTCGTCAAAGTGTTTCGATAGATGATAGATTGATAGATGATAGATTGATAGATGAAGGCTAACACTCTGATGAAGGTTATAGCTCTGACGAAGGGCTGACGCTCGAAACGTTAGCCTGTAAACTCTTTACGGTGGCCAATTTACGTTATCAACTCAGTTGATAACTTACCCCTAAAGTAAACTGCAGTAGCGACTCAGCGACTCGAATGTTAAGCATCTTGGTGCACTGAACATTTTCTTCACCTGCGGTTTTTGAAGCTACACTATTCGTGAATTCCTTCTTCAATTTGTCTGCCAGCATTATTGTCCAATGGCTACATCATGCGAAGGGCCCCATGTTGTGTAGAGTTCTAAAATGACTATTTTCTAACGAGCATCAGGCAATTAAACGGATGAATGCATCGTAGGTTCTAGACTGTAAATAACTCTGACAAATGAGTGAGAAATGTTTGTGCACCAGCAGAAACTAAAACTACAGGTGAATGTAAATATTTTTCTATTGGTTTCAACCTCACGCGAGCCCCTCTCTTTAACATTTGAATATTTTGGCGCATAAAGCAGTGGTCAGTCCCCATTTTAGACCTTGAAATAACTCGCTAATTTTAAGAAACGTAGATGGTTTAGGAATCCTTTTTATAGACTCCATAAGGATCGCCTTCCCGTTGAACTTTTCCGGTATTTCATCAAGGAGCAAAACCTAACGTAATGCCTGAAAATAGCAAAACTGGCTCAAAGGATAGGACATGCGTCGTAATCCATGAATTCCCGAGGTTTTGAAAAACATTTAAGATGTATTCTCCTCAGTTCTCGAAATTTCAAACTGATTTAAATTTTTATTTAAATTTCAACACTGTAGATAGGCAGAAGGTAATAAGCGTTGATGGATAGGTGTGTTTACATTTTTCTCACTACGTGGCTCCCGGGTATTGGAATTGTGGTTCCACAGATGATCAAATAGGAGGGATTTTCCGGCTTATTCCGCCTGGTTTTTGTTTATGTCAGTTGCTTTAGGAACCTTGTACCGTTTTCAGACGGCATTATAGCACTTGCATGTTTCTCTTTGGACGAAAGTCCATCTGCAGATGCATTTTTATCACCCTTGTAATCATTAATCAAAGAAAGAAAAGTAAAATGGCAGCCTTTTATAAAGGCCCCCCGACAACTAGAAAAGCATAATTCAATCGATAGCCATAGCAAAGTTGACGCCTATCAACTTCCTTTAGGCACACAATAAACTATGAAAGAACACTGAGCAAAACAATTTTCAACAAAAAAAATTGGCTTCACGCCATTCTTTCACACTACGAGATCTATCTAATAAACTGCTATTGCTTAAAATTCAGCAATAACACATACTAAGCGAGGAAATATATGATAGTTTCACTTTCATTTTTTTTCTTAATTATGCATGAGACGATGAAAGGTTTATTACGCACCAAGCATCAGCAATATTACCGAGTCCTGATTGGATGAGATCAGGTCTTGTGTGTAGGAAAGAAAAGCTGAAGGAATCAAATGAAGACTTAGAAGTTTCAATTTTTCCCCTCCAAACAAAGTGGAAGAGATTTTTCTCGGTAGTAAACTAAGGATTTAAATTTCGTGAGATATTCTTTCGCAATGTATAAGGCTACAATTAATTGCCCCATCGTATTCCTTGTATCTGTTCAGATACTCGCCACAGCCTTTCCTAAAGATAAGTATGGCTTTATAAAAAGCTAGCTTTTTGCGAGATTCTTATGCCAGCTGTTAGTGACATGTCGATTCCTAACACCTTGTGTGCATAAGCATAAGCTTCCCTTTCACAAAGAGAAAATCTGTTTTCATGATAATATTCAGGTTTGATATTCCAAATCTTTGGCATGCATGTCGAAATTAAGAACTTAAAAGCAATCATCGTGACGACAGAGAAAAATAAACTAAAGTAAAAGAGAAAGTAAGCAGAGGAAAACCCGTTTTGAAACAAAATAAGAGACACGTTGACTTGCGCAGGTTCCATCGTTCTGAATAACAGTTTGATCTCAATAAAAGTTTCATTGAATCGTTCAGAAACAGGTTGCTAGTCTGGTGTGATTCCACAAATGCGAATAACGATGCTTCTCCAACCACCTCCAGATTGTCCTATTGTTTAAGTGTGCTTGTCACAAGATTTTCAACCTTGCTTGCTATTCGCTCCATGTGATCAAGGAGATGGGATTTTCTCTCGTGAACCATTCATGATTTGTATTCAGCTTATAGCTAAAAATTTCGCACCCGTTTCATTTTGATTTTGTTTTGGTCCCACTTGTATATTGAAATGTGCGGCCTTTAAAATGGTGTCTACATGGATATATTTCCATCGAGCAGCTCAGTGCAAACCATTGTGTATGTTAAAATCGTGATATAAAATGCGTCCGAGGAACCACTCTTAATATTTTTTTAGTCATATATGATTGATACCAATGTGTTATTTTCAACGTAGGTTAGAATATTTTGTATCAAGAGGGCAGTAGAAATGCTCACCACTTGTCCCTGAAGGTAAAGGATTTGTCATTTCACGTAGCATGTTTCGATTTCTTTTAACGTTTCTTTATCAGTGTATTTTGGTTGACCTTTTAAGAGTGTATTACACATTTCCTCTCT